TCCCGGAATTTTCGTCCAATTTCGTCCATTTCCTATTCCTTTAAACCTATTTTTGTCTCGTTACTTTTTTTTTTTCTTTTTTTAATCTCGTTAATTAAAATCGTCTGTCGATTCTGTTTTTTTTTTTTTTTTTTTTCCGTTTGATTTTTCGATTCGATTCGATTCGATTCGATTTGGTTTCGTTTCGTTGTTTGATTTCTCGTTATTCTTTTTTTTTTTTTTTGGAAGAGTAAGATCACGCGTTACATTCATAAATGTAAATGTGTGTTTCTAATTGATCTATCATCGAGTTTTATTATTATTATTATTTTTATTATTATTATTATTACTATTATTATTATTATTATTATTCGAAAAGTGAGAAATTTGAACGAATTATACATAGTACAAAAATTTGTATAGATTTAGAAAAGGGAAATTGTAGGAGTAGTGAACGATTTTTAATTAATTCGTTTAGCGTTAAGAGATAATAATTGTTTAAAATATATCGTTAATGAGGGGGGAGGGGAAGATTTTAAAGGAAAAAGATCTATGATTTCAAAAAAATGTGCAATAATTTGATAAATTATTATCGATTTATCGAATGTTGTTGAAAATCTTTAAAAAAATTTTTATGAGATTTTTCACTCGTTGTCGCGTATATATTTTTTCTCGTATATTTTACAGATGTATTTTTTTATATAAGACGTTGATTCTATTTAATAATTATGTTATCCGTGTTATCGAAAATTATCGAAATTTCTCGTCGCCTTCATTCGAATTCTTATTCCTCTCATCTTAATCCTAATTAAGATTTCCAAATTCTTCTTTTCTTTTGTCGAAAAAAACTTGTGATGCTTGAACAAAAATCATAAATACCAATTATGATTATTTTAATTCTTAAATCTAAGAAATTTATTAACACTAGAGGGTTGAAATTCTTTCTTTTTTTTTTTCTCGAGCAAATTTTCCACGCAAATTCCTACGTTTCGTGAATCCACTTCCAATCTTTTTGTCCCTGAAATTTCCCAGTACGAGAGAACAAGCATTTCGTGAACGAATTCTAACCGCGAATCTCGTGAAAACCCTTCGATTTTCGATCTCATCTTCGTCATCGTCGTGAAAACTGCACGTGCCTCGAATTCTATCGTACGCAGGTCCCTGTACATGTATATATATACATACATACATATATATATATATATATATATATATATATACATATATACGATAGTAAAACATTGAATATAGGCGATATAAGTATTCCTCTGATAGATACTTAGATCCTTCTCTTAATGTTTTTAGTTTATAATCGTTCGCCAAAAGTACTGAAAAGTTGAGAAAAAAAAAAAAAAAAAAAAAAAAAAAAAAAAAAAAAAAAA